ATGTATGCAGGAAGTTGATTATCTGCCGTGGAAGCAAGTCGAGGGTGTAACGTTCTTCACAAGTACCGTGATCACGAGGGATGGATGGAGACACGTATCACCGAAGAATATACGTCAATTTATTTGTCAAGTCGAGGCTGGTTCGTACCCTTTCACCATGATTGTATTGTGACCTAATTAGATGGACTTCACAGTGATGGATGTCACAATTTTGACTTTACAGTGGACTTGACAAGGGTGTTATTAAAGTGACATGACAGTGATGTCACGATTTGACTTGACAGTGATGTAACACGCTTATGCCAGTGCTGTTACAACATTGAAGTTACCTTAATGTGTCGTTTCTTTAGAGGTTACTCTCATGTTAGTTTTTTCACCCCACTAACATTGCAGTGTGTCACGCCACTAGCATATCAGTGTGTCACGTCACTAACATTGTAGTGTTTCACGCATGTAACATTTTAGTGCTGTCACGCCAATGTTATGCTAGTATGTCATGCATCCATGCTACTGTCATATCAGTTCCATCATATAAAGACATATCATATTTCTCTTATTCCGTATATGCCCAGACTTGTACTATACTGTTATTTCTGTAGTAATCGTTCTTTTTACTAGTGTTGAATTTTTTTTTTAAATCTTAACAGACATGTGACAATTTAAGGAATTCTTAAAATTCACATGTGCACAGTCAACACTGATCTCTCACAACTGACACCCTAGTAAAATGTCATTACACATCGTCTTTCAGTATAATAATATCAAAATTATTCTCTTCACAAACAGATTTCTTAAGCTTCAGAGAAAATAACACGTATTACAAATTGTTCCCATTTGGTGAAAATTGGGCAGACGCAAATGTAAGAACTGATATTTCGTATTTTTTTTTTAACTTTATGTAAACACAAATTACCATATACTGCATACTGTAGCCATAAGGCAACGTACCATTGTGAATACACACACCAATCTTTACTTGCACAGATACACATTGGTTATAGTGTTTCATCCCTTTATTATAATCTCCCTTACAAAATAAATGCGAACACTTTCAGTAGAGTTACGTTTATTTTATCAAATGCAAATTGCAATTATCTTTATTAAATTCTTTTAGATTTTTGTATTTTATAAAAAAACTAGTTAATATTTATAGGAGTACTGTAAGACAACTTTTTATTACGGCAAACTGGCTGAGCCGATTAACAGTGAGCAAAGGAAAGCGATTGAGGAAATAACCAAAGAAGCTAAACTTATTGGTGAGCAGAAATAGATTTTACTGTAGTCTTTATGTGAAGATTAAAAAAAAATATGTTTCTAGTATTTACCGATCGATTGTTTTAACTGCTTTTAAAAAAATAATATTTTTAAGGATGTTGCATAACTTTAGTTTTATTTTTTGAATCTTTAGTGTAATCTGTTGCTTAGAAATAACTAATATTTTCCAAGACATATTTACCCGAAACTAATCATTGCGGTTCAATTTTGTGAAAAGAAATGTGTCTAGTTTTAACTACCTATACTATGCAAGTATTGTACTTACATAGAAAACCATACAAATAATAGCAATAAAATTATTGTAAAATAATATGTTAATGTCTCCGCTAACTTAAATGTATCCACGTAAAACTATGTTTTTAATGAAAATAAAGCGATGTAATCCCCAATAAAGTTTATTCAATACACAGAACATACATTACATTATGTTCGCAGTACCAATTTTGGTTCCAGGAAATCGATAAAAACTTAACCAGAAACCTGAAATATATTAAATACCACTTCTGTATACCGAAAATAACTAAAACGTCTAAATAAACCTACGAATATGATCTATACATTAGGTATCAAATTGAGTCTACCTAACAGAATCGGTACTAAACTTATCGGTTTTATGGAGAGACCAAAAGACGTACACCAACGATTGCAAAACTGGGTTTTAAGTATAAAATGTGGTCGAAATTTCAATTGCAAAATGTTTTACAATTCCTTAAATCACGCCATTCTCTGTATACGATAAAGTAAATAAAAAATGTATACCATGTGTACAATACTATGTTGGTTTCCTTAGCTTGGATAGGAGCGAGCGACCTGGTAACTGAAAACGTATTTGTCTGGACAAGTTCCGGTCGGAATCTGTCTACGAAGGACAGCTGGTGGTCCCTGAACAACCCGGACAACTGGCAGAACAGGGAACATTGTGTAGTTGTTAACGTAAGCAGCGAAATTAATGACTGCGATTGTTCTTACCGGTTTCCGTTCATTTGTGAAATCGTTAATCAGAATACGGATATATATTATATATATATACATATCTATATATATATATATATATATACAATATACGTAAGCAGCAAGATTAATGACTGCGATTGTTCTTACCGGTTTCCGTTCATTTGTGAAATCGGTACTCAGAAAACGAATCTCCCTCTCTCTCTATCTCTGTCTCTCTCTCTCTCTGTCTCTCTCACTGTCTCTCTCTCTCTTTCTCTCTCTCTCTCTCTCTCTCTCTCTCTCTATATATATATATATATATATATATATATATATATATATATATATATAAACTAGCCGTCATTTAGTTTTTTCCACAAAACGGACCTCGTCATTACGACTCCCAACAAATAGGCTCCCGCCATTTAATTTCTCCACAAAATGGCCCCCGACAAATAGGCTAGCGTCATTTTGGCTCACGACAAAAAGGCTCTTGTCAATTTGGCTCTAGACAAAAGGACCACTGACAATATCGTTTCTGTAGAGACTAAGTCTCCCGGCAAACCGGTTTCATTGAATATGACACATGCCAGTGGTACCCCTTCATCAATATTCTTTAGAGTTAGCTTATCCAACACTCTTAAGTAATACAATGTATGCATTTCTTGTTCGGCAGGCCTTATTTTTATATTAGTTTATCTATTATAAAATATAGTATGTTTTAATTTAAGGGTCATCTATCTATGACTTCCATAATTGAGTCGGTTATACGCTGTTCCATCTCAGTGTATGGGGAGAAGTGTCCACGTTGTACCTTCCTACCTCCATTTTGCTTGTAGTTTATCAAAACAAAATGTCGTTATCCTGTAAACATCATGTATATCGTACATTTTCACTTCTATGCTCGCTTTTTATGCAACAGATCTTTACTGTTGTAAATTAAACATTATTAAAATTTTAGAATTCGTAGATTTAAGCTGTTAAGAGCTTGATTTGTTTGTGAATTGATGTTGTTTTATGAAAAGCAATTTCATTCAGGCATTAAAAAGAGGTTATAGTAGTAGTGAAGGTAGGACAAAATGGTTACTTTTATGCCAATAGTGGTCATGCCATTCATTTGTCTGGATCCCATATGTAGGGAGTCATTTTGTGGGTAGCCAATATGTCGAGAGTCCATTTGTCGGGAGCCTAAATGTCGGTAGCTCATTTGTCGGGAGACCATATGTCGCGAGTCAATATAACGGGAGCCCATTTGACGGGAGCCAATAAGTCGGGGCCCTTTTGACTGGACTATTTTGACGGGTTTTTTTTGGCGGGGCCGATTTGTCTCGGGCCGTTTTGACAGGACACCATATATAGGTTGCGGAATTTATCATAATTGTATCAAAACTGTTCCAATGTGGAATAAATGAAAAAAAAACATTTTAAAAAGCAGAACGAAGCACGTTATCTTCCATTTAGTGAAAAAAAAAGAAAGAAAAAACCAAATTTATTGCTATAACGCAAAATTAACAACAATTATTGTTTTCTCAAAGAACTACCAATACGTATTACTACTCTTTAATTATAATTTCAATACGCAAAATAAATATGAAAATCGTGGTATCAATAGTGTTTTACCTCCTGTTTTGTATAAGATAAGACAACATTTATAATGGAAATAAAATGTTTGTTTCTAGACGTTTCCCCCACAAACCACACAGACGACCCCTGCTTCCCATACATGGACCTACAACAAGTGAACGGCGTCTGCCAAACTAGTTTTGTATCACCACGATACTGGACAGTGAATGCTGTAAGTGTAATCGTTTTAGTCAGACAGTAATCATTCTTTTTAATTAAAATGTATATTTTGTATTTGAACAGACCAAATATGCTCTTTAAATCACAACGTCCAAAACATTTGAGAATTTAACTAATTTATATATTTTGTACTTAAACAGACCAAATGTGCAGAAAAAAGCCCAATATCCAAAACATTTTAGAATTTAACAAGAAACGAGAAGCTGGTGTTTGGACTGGTGGACAACCAGATGTACAGTCTGTGTGAGTGGTGGATTTAGCCTAAATAAAAACATATGGCTAAATTTGTCTACACCACGGGGGGGGGGGGGGAATTTAAGAATTCCGTGGGGTACACTTATACATTCTATAGGAATTTTACAAAATTTATTTAGAGGAGTGAATGGGGAGTGGAAGGGGAAAATATTGCTCAAGAGTTCACAATATTTTATTTTTTTTCTTCTCATTTTAAATTTAAGCTCAAGCGTAATCTAAACATAAAATGCTAAGTTTATTTTTGCATGTAGAGCAATGAATTCACTTTCAATACAGATAGCTGCAAGAATAGTTCTTACCACCAAAATTCCAACACTTGCCTCAAGTTGTTTCCAAAGAAAACATTCACAGAGGCGGAAGAGTTTTGTAAGAATAGTTTTTTTGGTCCAACAATGAGCAGAGGGAGGCTGGTTGAAATCTTGGAACAAGCCATGGACGACTTCATCACGCGTAATTTAGTTATTTTTTAATTAATTAAGCGTTAAAAATGATGCAATAGTAAAACATTTCTTTTTATTTAGTTACGATTTTGATTTTTAACTGAACATTTTGAAAAATATATTGTGACTAAACTATTATTTTTCTTTTTTTTTTGCATGATTATTTATAACACATGTTACATATAGAATTTAACGTAACAATTATACTTACTTATATTACTCGTAGCATTGATTAATAAATAATCAATTACTTTTCATTTACCATTATAATACTGACATTGATACGAAGAAAAATCATTACATGACATGTTCTGAAAACCAACACAGATGCTTTTATCGGGTTGTATCGCAACATGTCCGAGTCGTTTCAGTTTGTTGGCTCATTACAGGTTGTAATGTTTTCCTTATTTTAGTTGCATTCACAAATATTAGTTTTTATAATAATGTCAGTATTACAAGTATTCTATTTAGGTTAATTATTTTTTTAAATATTTATATGTTTTAGTCCGTATTTTATGCTTTAACAAAATTACAAAACTTGTTTATTTAATGTTTTATTTTAAATAAAATTTTAGCTGTATATTTCAAAATATAAGTTAAATATGAAAACAAACATAAAAATCAACATCTGTTTTTAACATATTATATTTGTCGATCTATTTTTAGCATTAGCCTTAGCTGTGACAAAAAATATACAATTTTAGGCACCGTTGTATTTTGGGTGGAATTCTACAAGAACCGGCTCCAACGAAACGGTTGCCATGACAACAGTCGGATGGACAACACACCATGCTCAAGCCAAGATGAGATTTATTTGTCAGAAAAGTTTTGACAGCAAACAAAGTCAGTTTTTACTTCAACACTTTTTTGTGATCCGTGTGATATAAATATATTTTATTTTTGTGGTTAACGTAAAACATTACTATTGATGTAACGTATGTGTCTCTATAGATTCTATGGTTAAATAAGTGTTAGTACTGTATAGTGAGCATTTTAAATGTGACAATATAACTTGTTTGCATTAGGTAAAAAACAAATTTAAATTATTAAAATATATTATTACATTTTCATGAAATGTATATATTTTTGAATTCTTATTTGAACACTTTATTCGCTTCTTTAAGAAAATTTTAATATTATACTAACTTTTGGTTAATCATACGTTTTATTCAAATAGCACACTTTCACGCTTCATTGATATATCTGATTGTAATCACCATTAGTGTATGTGGCGCACTAATCCTTATCTTTCTGATCGCCGTATTCTGCTATTGCATCAACAGAAAACCAGGTAACAATAACATTATTGTGTGGTAACTTTTAACAATTTACTTTAGCTACCACGGTTTTAAATAAACAGGATTTTTATTTTTAATAATTTTAAAAAAATATTTTTATAATAAACAGTGTTTGTTTTTTAAATTTTATAGCAGATGATGTGGGTGAAGTTAAAATTACAGAAAGTACAAGAAATTCATGGTCATTTATCACTGCGTAAGGACTTCAGCCAGGGAAGATGAGAATGAGAAATAGCTGTAAAACATTAGGCGCTTTTAAAAGCAATACTAATATTTCGTCGAAATATTCAATTTGTATTCGAAACAAACTACGCACGCAAAGAAATAAATGGTTATATAAATATAGATTGTATTATTTACTGTTTTTCTGGATTATAAGGTTACGATTTATGTGTATTGCAAATAATCAACAATCACAAACAGATAAGTTCTAAAATACTGCAAATATATCATTGAGTGTTTGTCCGGTATTTGCCTGGAATTTTTAGTTAGTTTCTATGACGAAACAGACACTTTACAAATGATTCTATGCTGCAAAATTTAATCATGATTAAACTTCTTTTTATTTTCTTATATATATATATATATATATATATATATATATATATATATATATATATATATATATATATATATATATATGAAATATGTGTAATTCAATAACAGTATATGAACATTATGTAGCTTTTGTAGGGTCGTAAACACACACAAAAATATAGTTTTTTTTTGTCGTTCAAAATGATTAACTTATATGAAAATAAATCAAACTATAAGCAACATAAATGACAGTCTGAAAGATAACTTCAACAATTTTACATATATATATATATATATATATATATATATATATATATATATATATATATATATATATATATATATATATATATATATATATATATAATTATATGAAAATAAATCAAACTATAACCAACATAAATGACAGTCCGAAAGATAACTCCAACAATTTTACTGTCATTGTTTCATTTTCATAAAAATCGTGTGATCTTTATTTATTGTTTCCAGCCAGGGTTTCTTCTAGGCATCTCTTAGGGGGGGGGGGGGGGAGGAAGGATTTTTTGCCCCCATCCAGCACCCGAACGAATGCAGATTTATATAGATGTGACCTACTTAGGTTATGTATTTTTTTGTTTGACTTTTATTACTCAACTATGAGTGACCGGTGGCGCAAACACGCAGTACTTTTCCATCACGAGTTGTGGTGCAATAATTTTATAATTTCGATTGGTTGATTCGGACATCGGGGGTGTCCCAACCAATAGTCTCATGTTTTGAAGGTGACCTCCCATGTTGCCTCAGGTGTCAAAAGAGTCTGCGCACAGTTTTCTGCAAGCAGCCGACCGCAGCAGTCCGCAGCAGCAGTCAGACCAGACATCTTTGAGAGAGAAAGCCTTGAGTGTCGCTATTTTGTAGCCTATAGTTTTTAAGCAGCATTTTTCCCTTTATTACTTGTGGTTTTAAGTAATATTTTGTGCTTTAAGTAGTGTCGTATAAGCTGTGGTGATTTTCCTGAGTGCCATATCCTGTGATAGTGTAACATAGTGTTTTTTCTTCAACTTGTAAGTTGGGTTTTTGTTATTCTAACTCATTAATTTTATTCTGTATAAGTCTTATCTTGAATTTGTACACATATTAAAAGTTATATATGGATTAAATGTGTTGTTGGTATCAGGAGTTCATCGAGTGTATCCCCTAGACGTTAAGTACGTGTCCTCGTTAACTGTTGTGAGAGCTACCTTTTATAGGGCTTTAAGCCGTCTGTGTATAACCATCTAAACGAACCCGGGTGCGTTCGCCAGCTCTGTGGCTAATAGAGATAACAAAATTTTTATTAGTGTCCACCCCTCCCACAGCAAATTTAGTCTGCCCCCCCCCCCCTTCTTCCCTGCTCCCCGAAAATATCTAGTGACCCCCGAAGAAAAAGGTCTGGAAGAAACACTGTTTCCAGATAATGACAAAGTGCTTTATATTGAGTTTAGTACCCTTAGTAATCTACAGGCGTCTAAACATGAATGTTCTGCTAAGTGCCTGATGTGTATGTGGTGTTCCTTCATCAATCTAGGAATGGCGTGGCCTAGCTGAGAGCGCTACACTGCTGTATAGACAGTATAACATAGTAAGTAGTAAGTGAAGTGACTTTCAAACATGACCGTATACGACCAATTAAAGTAGAGTTCACTTGTTTCTGTGACCTCGGCATGTGAAGAGTAGTCAGAACTATGCCTTTACCTACCCTAACCTGAGTTAGGTACCCATCAGAGCTGGGTGGACTCAAGGATGTTCTGCTGACTTGAACCAGGATTCGAACTCGAGTCTTACGGGTTAGCCAGTCCAGCTCTGGTGTTATATAACACTGCTATTAATAGGAGTTTGAACTCGGGTTAAAGTCAGAGTAACTTCCCTTAATCCATCAATAAGTCAAGGTCAAGAAACTGACGAGCTCTACTTCACCTACGCAACGGATCGCTAGGTCTAAAGTGGAATCTTAACTTTTTAATTACAAAGTATGTTTAATTTATAATGCTTAGTGTAATGGCGAGAATTCTTAAGTAAGTGCAAGAGAAGTACTATACACTTAACGTCATCTGCGAACGTTTGTTCTAAACTACTAAACTTGGACGTATTAATCTATTTATTACAATGGGTAATTTGTGAACTGTATAAGCTAAACTATGTAACGCATGGTCGAATTGTAGAGCGATCGACTATTGACCCGAAAGTATGGAGTTCGGGTCCATGACTAGAGGCGTAGCATGTCCCAGTGTCCACCCAACATTGATGGGATAGCCGACTTACGTTAAAGAAAGTAAAGTGCTTACCACACGATATCTTCATAGGCTGACTCTACCTTACCTAGCCTGTAGGCCACTTGGACCGAAAAGGAATTTTTAATTAAAAATTAAATTGATACAATAAAATGCCCAGTCAAAGAAGTGTTATATTTTATGTTTAGGGGTCGTCCATAAATGACGTCACACGCCTAGGGGGGGGGGGGGAGGGGGTTCAGACTTTTGTGAAGATGTGTGACGAGGGGGAGGGGGGGTAGAGACAGTGTGACGTCACGTTGTCTTAATTCCACGAATTGATTAACATGCATTTTTTTAGTTTTTAGAAAAATAAACATACTAAATACTAATTTAATTTTTTTTACATTGGTTGCGATACTTCTAAGTTGTCAAAAGATTGTGAAATATATATTTGTTCTAATTAAATTGCCCTAAAATTTGACGATGTGTGTTGAGTAGTAGACTGCCGTATATGCAAATTTGTCAATACTGCTATATGAATAAAGGTCGGAAGCATATCAACTAGTGAGGGTGAGGCATGGGTATCAGTGTAATGCTTGATATTCTTTGAAGTTTACAGAGTAGGGCAGTCGTAATAAAACTTTAAACCCCGTTTTCCGAATATTTTATTTAAAAACTTATGTTCACACTTAGGGCTGCGACTCTTGCCCTTGATGACACGCCTTGTCTCCCTTACATCATGGTGTTCATGCCGATAGTTCATGCTTGTTGAACGATCTAGTGGAAAAATAAGTAGTACGATCAGTTCCAAGGTCGAGATCACGTGATTTTTGAAGGTGCGGCCAAAACAAAAGCGGATGTGTGTAGGGTCAGCTTGTGATGCGTGTTTATTCGATCAACCCAAATAGGCCTACACGTGTCTTGCTGAATCAACTTTGTCTGTGTGAGGCTTTTCAATTGAAAGGTAGATCTAATAATCTCATATATACTGCTTAAAAATCGACAGTTAATGATGGATAAAAATAAAATGTTCCAATGTATTTTTGATGCCTACGTGCTGGCATATCCTAAAAAGAGTAAAAAGATTTGCCAAGAAGAAGTCGTTGAAAAGTGGACTCAACTAAAAAGCGATTCAGATCTGCACTTGAAAGCGGAGGTCTGGCTGCAAGAGCTAAAAGCAATTGCTGCCGATAAAAAAGGCTCAATTTTGACGTTTTGGGCCAAACAAACATCTGTATCTACATCTACAAACAAGAAAACACCCTATGATTTGGCAAAAGAAATACCTAATACTAATAAGTCACTGAAGTCAGATGAAAAAGTGAACGATGCTCATGAAGTCAGTGATTTCAAACCCTCTATCAGCAAACTATCAACATCAAAGCAGGCTACAATCCAGATAAACTTACAATCAGAGATTGAGATTCTGAATTCTGATCTAGTCGGCTTGTATGAGCGACAAACTCGCGGAATGTTAACGCAAGAACAGAACATGGAGCTTAAAGAAAAGAAACAGAAAAAGAGTGATTTGGAAAAAAAAGCTAAAGAGGAAGATATCTGATCAAATAAGATCTCAGAAAGCTCGAAATGAAAAGAAAAGAAAACTGAATGCTTTGTTTGAAGAGAATCCGGGGCTACGCGCCACATTGAATGTTAGATCTAATTCTGGCAGGCCAGGGATTGAAGAAGATCAATCATCTTTATTAGAAACTAACTATAAACATTGCTATGCATGGATCAGCATCACACGAGAGGAGGCAGAACGAAGTCTACATGACTATTAAAACATTAGATCAGCTAACTGATCAGTTAAAACAGCATGGGTTTATAATTAGTAGAAGTGGGCTGTACCTTCGACTGTTGCCAAGACGTACTTCTTCTCATGAAGGGCAACGACATGTATCGACGGTCCCAGTAAAACTGATCAGAGCGCAAAACGATTGCCATGCATATCACATTGATCGCTTGTTTACAGCGGCAACACTGCATCACCTAGAAGAGTTAGCTTCCATGCTTGGACCGAATGAGGTATGCTTTATAAGTCAAGATGACAAGGCCCGCGTTCCGCTAGGGTTGACAGAAGCTAAAAAACAGAGTCCATTGCTCATGCACATGGAATACAGGGTGAGCTTGCCTGACCATGACTGGGTTGTGGCTGCTGGACATAAGCTGATCCATTCAGTTTATACAGG